CAAGCTCCCCTCGGTGGACAGAGCCGACGCAGCTCTGCGGGGAAGGGCAGAGCAGGCCCCTCCAAGTTCACTCCTTTTAGGGAGATGAGGGATTAACAGAGGGGGGAGGCTGTCACTGAGTAATTAAAACAGCTGTGGGAGAATTCTTCCCTCCATGCAGCTGCTGGGGGGGTCCAGAGACACCCCGGGGGTCCCCTAGACCTCTCCTCTCTTGAGAGCCCATGACAGGGCCAGGTGGGGAGTGTGGGGGGGGTGTCAGCAGGAGAGACCCCTTGGGAAATGCCAAGAGTGGCCCCTCCATTGCTGGACATGTGGTCACAGTGACTCACACCAGGGGCAGAAACACCTGGAGCAGCAGTGACCCCACAGAAGACTGGGGTGGTGGTGGTAGAAGGTGTGGGCAGGAGGGGAGAGACCCAGAACCAGCGGTGTGGCCCCAGCCCCGCCCTGCTGCCCACTGCGTGGCTTGGACACAGATGGTGAGAGGCTAGCAGCTGGGTGCCCGTCTCCATGGTGACCAGTTCTCCTTGTCTGCTCATCTCCCCTCCGAGACAGGAGGGGACCAACATCATCCACTAATACACCAAGGTATCTGCCCAGGGCTTGGAGGGGCAATGGCCTGGGCCCCAGCCTCCAGACCCCAGCCCTTCAGCTTCCCTGCAGCCCCGGCAGGACCCCACCTACCCTCCACCCTGTAGCCTGATGGGACCCCAACACCCAGTCTCTCCCCCTGCAGGGACACCAGAACTCACCCTCCACCCTGCAGGGACCCCAGCACCCAGCCTCTCACTTGCAGCTCTGATGGAACCCCTGCACCCAGCATCCCCCCTTGCAGCTCTGATAGGGCCCCAGTCTCTCCCCACTGCAGTCCTAGGACCCCACAGCAGCCAGCCTCCCCCACTCTCATAGCTCTGGCAGGCCCGAACTCTGAGCTCCCATGGGCCTGGCAGGGATCTCACCAGGGGCCTGGGTCGGCTCTGCAGCCTCCACCCTGCAGCTCATGTGCTGCTGAATCATTTGAAAAAAATGCCAGGTCCTGAGAGGCCCTGCTGAGAACAGGGAGGCTTTGTGGGCCAGCTGCCGCTGTACTTTCTCCACCAGGAGGGGGCTGGGCCCAGCGGCTGCCCTGCCCATGCCCCACGGGTGAGGTGGGGGCACTGAGAGGGTGGCTGCGAATCTGGGGGGCACCTTTCCTTCCAGGCTGGAGTTTTGGGTTCCCCCTGCCACTAGCTAGCACAGGGGCTCCCGTGGGCCCAGCTCAGTGGCTGCATTTCTCAGAGACAGAGAATCTGGGGTCCCTGACAGCAGGACTCCAGTAGCCCCCTCCGCCATGCCTGCTTCCTGTTCCTGGCTGGTTGGCTTGGCTGCTGGAGCCTACAGCCCACCTGTCCCCCACACTGGGAGTCCTTGGCTATGATGGTGGGCATCCTGCTCTGCCCATAGCCTGGGAACATGGCCAGGTGGGGGCAGGAGCCGAGGGCCCCACAGCAGCAGGGGGTGGAGGGAGAGGCCCTGCTGACCAAGGAAAACCGTGACACAAACCAAGGACCTTCAAGTCCACCCTGACAATCCTACATGTGCACAGACCTTCCAGAAAGGTGCCCTGGTGACCCAGTGGTCAGGCACTTGGAGGCTGATGGGTCAGGTTCAAACCCAGCAGCCGCTTTGAGGGCAAAGACTGACAGACTCGGGAGCCCTAAGGCTTACTTCTCTCTGTGGTCCCCAGACACCTGTGGGTCTGGACATGAGGCGGCCTAGGGCACAGCGGTTCAATGCTTCACAGCTAACCACAAAGCTGGCGGTGTGAACCCAGGATCCACTGCTCCTTGGGAGAAAGTCCACTTCCATACAGGTGACCCGCGGCTATCAAGTTCAATACCACTCAGAGTGACCCTATAGGAAGAGGGGAGCTGCCTGTGTGGGTTTCTGAGACTGTCAATCTCTACGGGAGCAGACAGCCTCATCTTTCTCCCTCCAAGCAGCTGGTGATTTCAAACCGCTGCCCTTGCTGTTAGCTGACCATGTGACCCGCGATGCCATCTTGGCGCCTGTGTACAAACTCCGCCCTCAGGAACCCTCTGGGGTGGTCCTGCTCTGTCCTGCAGGGTGCTGTGACCTGGAATCGACTAGGTGGCGCCTCCAGCCAGGGCACCCCTCTCTGTACAGTGTTTAACACAATCTGGGTGTTATCTGTTCGGTGTGAGAACAGGGTCACCCTCCCATGCCCACCGGCAAGCAGTCCCTTCCTCCTGTCACAGGCATCTGAGTCAGGGGCTGTAGCTCCACACACACCGGGGGTGGGGGTGGGGGAGGATACGGTGGCACAGGAGAGACAGGTGCACGACAGACAGACCCCTGGAGCAGCAGGCCCTGCCCACTCCCCGAGCAATTCCCAGGAAGCACAGAGCTCCTGGCTTCTGATCTGGCCCTGTGGGGGGGCACCCCCTTCCCCCTGCCCTGTGGGCCTGGGACCACTGCACCATGGGATCTGCAAGCTGGGGAGCAGGACTCCTGAGGCGGGGCAGAAACAGAGAAGTCATGCCCCCTGCCCCACTCCCCGCCAGGGCTCAGATGCACACTGCTTCTGGAAAGTTCTAGAAGACGTAGTGTTCAGAGAGGACAAACCCACAGGAGGGTAAAGCCTAATAGCAGGCTGGGGGGCTTCGCCCTGTGCTAGGCACAGTCTCACGGCATTTCCAGAACTCTTCCAGGCAGCGTGGTCAGCTGTCTGCGCTGAGCTGTGGGCCATGCTAGTCGCCCTGTAGGGATACGGGAGCATGAGGCAGGTGCCCGCGGGGAGTCAGGCAGGGGGTGATGGTACAGGGAGGTAGGTGGCATGTGGGGACGATGGCTGGAGGTGGAGCACGGGGCTGAGGAGGAAGCTCAGAGTTGCTGCCCATGCCCCGGGCAGAGATTAAGGTCCTTGCCCCCAGATGTTTCTCTGGCTGCTGGAGGCCACAGAACAAGGTTGGTGGGCCGGGCTCTTACCTCCCCACAGGGCGCCTAGTCTTTGCTACTGGACTATAGCCTAGCTGGGCCAAGGTGGCCAGAGCGGCGCCTTATCCTCCCGTGGACACGACCAAGGGACAGCAGTGGGAAGTTACTTGCCCTCCCTACCCCCAGGGAACTGCCAAAGAGCCACCTCTTTATTTGGGGGCAAGCGGGGGGGTGCCATTCCAGGTGGGCTGGCCCCTTACACCACTGGCCTGGCAGAGCAGGCCCTTAATGGTGGGGATAGGACTGGATTGGGGGGAGGGGGTGTCTTGGCCCTGGACAAGGGGTAGGGGTGACAGTGGACACAGTCACCACCTCCCATCTCTCTGCCAGTTGTCGCAGCTACTTTTAGCTCCTGAGTGGCCAGCCTGGGGGATTCCTCACCTAGAAGGCACTAGCCACAAACACCCCCTCCGAAAATGGAAACAGAAACGGACCAGACTGCAGCTTCCCGGACGCCGCCACCACGGCCCCCGCCCTGAAGCACCCAATGGCTCCGTCCCTCGGTGGCCCCAGCTTCACATCCAGCCACCCCCATAGCGCCCTTTCTGTGTCCTGCAATTTTACCCACCCCCCCTGCCAACAACAACAACAACAAAACAGGCCAGGCTGGGCTGCCCAGGGGACGCCGATGACCCACACACACACACACACAAAAGGGGTGTTGTTTGGCTGGAGAGTGGGAGAAGCCTTGGGCTTCCATCCAACTGTGGGGTGGCTTCGCAGCCCAGACTCAGGACATTCCAGAAGCAGAGGACGGAAGGAGAGGCGGGCCAGGGCTGGACCGCAAGTGGGAATCAGCCTGGGGCCCTGAGTCCCATGCGATGGCACATGCAGGCTGCCCGGGATGGCTGGGCTGTCCCTCCACCAGACCCAGGACACGGTGTCCAGCAGCTGCCCGATTTCCCAAGACACAGCGACCCCTGCCTCCCCTAAGCCCCCAACAGACAGGTTTCGTCACTGTGACCCCACCCACTGCCATGAGGCAACCCCAGCCCTATCCACGGGTTTCCGAGCCCGTCAGTTTTTATGGAAGCAGACAGTCCTGTCCTTGTCCCAAGGAGCAGCTGGGTGGGTTTGAACCGCTGACCTTGTGGTTAGCAGCAGCCCAACGCTCACTAAACCGCTCCACCTCAAAGCCTTAAAAACCCAGTCATCAAGCAGATTCCCATTCATAGCGACCCTAGAACAGAGCAGCCCTGCCCCTGTGGGTTACTGAGACATCAATCTCTTTCTTTTTCTGAGAGTAGAAAGTCTCATCTTTCTCCCTCAGAGCAGCTGGTGGTTTCGAACTGATGTCCTTAGCCTAACCCACTGCACATCAGGGCTCCTGAACTGTCACTCGGGACCACCCACTGCCACGAGGGTGGCGCTCTGCAGGGTTTCCACGGCTATCAGTCTTTCCAGGAGCAGACAGCCTCTTCTTTCTCCAGCGGTGGGTTTGAATAGCCAACCTTTAGTGGTCCAACGCTGACCCGGCGGACAGGTGAGCCGCTGAGTCTATGTGGCTGGCACTCAGAAGCCCAGGGAGGGTGGATTCTGAGATGTGGACAGGGGAGGGAGGGAGAGATACAGGCTCAGGAGCGGTCTCATCTCAACATCCATCCAGGCTCCGAAAACTACAGCCTGTGGGCCAGGTCTAGCCTGCCTCCTGCTTTTGTAAATAAAGTTTAATGGACACCCAGCTCTGCCTGCTCTCGGAGCGGTGGCCTGAGGCTGCTTTGCAGCTCCGGGAGCGGAGTGTAGACATCTCCTTGGAGAATGGACTGCCGGCCAAGCGCGGTCTTGTCTCTCCGCATGCAGCCAGTAGTTCAACCCAGCCGGTCTGGGGGCTGGAGAGGGCTGTGGAGTGAAGCTGGGGATGGGAGCCCCCCCATGCACTCAGGTCCATGCTCCCCTATTCCCAGGCTCACAGGGAGCAGCTCCGGCCCTGCTGGAAGCACACCCCCCTTCCTTCTTTCCCTCTCCCTGCCCTGCTTCCCATGTTGAATGCCCGGTCTGCTCACTGTGGTCGTCGACTGCTCCAGAGGGTCTTCAAGGGGAGAACTTCTAGCAGCAGTGCTCCAGGCCTGTCTTGGGAGTGGCCCCAGAGTGGGCTCTAACTGACCACCCTTTAATCATCCGTGCCCCCCACCCAGGGACTCCAGTATGAGGGTGCCGTTGGTATGCACAACGGGTCCAAAAGACAACATGGGGTTTTCGGGAAACCTTGGCCGGGACCTCGGCCCCGAGCTAAGCCACCAGTGACATCTCTTTTGAAACGGTGCCTGCCTGACCTTGGATGCCTGGCGGCAGCCCAGTCTTTCTTTGGCTCAGACATCTGTCGTACAGAGCTGACCTGCAGTTCCCCTCTGAGCTTGTGGCTGGGGAGGATGCCTTAACCCTTCACCCTGCTGTCCGTACCTCTGGCTCTGCCCCATTCAGGCCTGTGTGGGTCTCCACCCTGAAGCAGCACTTCCCTTGAAAGGCGTCCTGCCCGAGAAAGGTTATGTGCTCCTGCAAGGGCAGCAAACACAGGAAGAGGCCATGATCCCCAACACGGTGGGGCTTTCAGGGCGGACAGCCAGGATTTTCTTCCAGTACATCTCTGGGTGTGTTCAAACTGCTAACCTTCCAGTTAGTTGTTGCACGTGCAACTATTTGCCCCACTTGGACAGGGATTCCAAGGCTGCTTTCCCTAAGGAAGCATCTTTCTCCCATGGAGCAGTGGGCAGGTCTGGGCAGCAGCCGAGCGCTGGAACACTTGAACCCCCCCAGGGGAGGGGAAGAGGCTGTGTCCCCACCCCTCCAGCCCCAGACACGGACGCCAAAGACCACACAGCGGCTCAGACAAGCGTCCCAGAGATGGGTTCTGTATTGGTCTCGCTGGGCCGCTCTCGGTCAGCATATCTTCTGAAACTCTTGCAGACGCTTCCGGGCTTCCTCCAGGAACTGCCGGTGCACCTTGTTCTGCTCAATGATCTGCTGCTGCAGGTTCACAATCATCTGGCTGTGCCTGCTGTCATCCAGGCTGCTGCCCACCAGGCTGGGGGTGCTGCCGGGCCCCAGGGCACCCTCAAAGTCAAGGGAGTGCATGGGGGTTGCCTTCGAGGGTGCCTTCCTCTGCTCCCGCTTCCGGGCCTCCTGCCGAGCCCCATGCACAGTGAATGGGCTCATCTTGGGGTGTTCTGTCTGTTCCAGTAGCTCCAGTGTCTTTTGTCTCCTCAGTGCTGTCGCCTCCGGGGTCTGCTTGGCCTCTGTCGTGCCCCTTCCCCCTCCGTCGGCCAGCTGGCCGCCCTCCACCAGCCTGGTGCTTTTGGGGGAGTCCTTTCCAGGCCAGGACCTGGGAGGTGAGGCTGCGTCTTCCTGCTTACGGCTGGCTTTAGCCACCTTGCTTTTCTCATCAAACTTGGTCTTGGCTAGGCGGTGGTATTTCTGGGTCTCGATCTTGGCCAGCAACGTTTTCAGGTTGTCCTGGGTGGGCGTCGCCCCCATCTCGGCCTTTCGGGGGCCCTGGTCCGCTGTGAGGCTCTGCCCCTTCCTGGGCTTCTGCTCCAAGTGTAAGCCCAGCTGGGCCTTCAGCTTCCGGTTGGTGGCGAACAGCTCCTCGAAGGCGAACTCGAGCTCCCGGTGCCACCTCTGAGAGCCCCCCGGCCTGCCCACAGGGGTGGCACACACGGCCCCCTTTCTGCGGGTCAAGCCCACTGGCCACTGTCCCTGCTCCGGCCGCCTGGCCTCTCGGCTCGACTCCAGAGGGTCAGGTTTCAGGTAGTGGGTAAAGGTGGCCACCTCCTTCCCCAGCTGCCTCCGCCTGTCTTGGGCCACCTCTTTCGTTCCATCCCCCAGGGGTTCCCTGTCCTCGGGACACAGCTTGTCCACGTCCTCCCCTCTGTTCACCCAGGGGTCCGGATGCTGACGACCCCCGCTGGTCCTCCCAGAGGGCCCTCGTCGCTTGCTGAGAGGGGACTGGGCCGCCCTTGTGACACTGGAGGTGCTTGTCACCTTCATCCCAGTCTTGGGGTGCCATGCTAGCCCCTCCTGATGGCCACCCTCCTCCCTGAGGGCTGCTTTGGTCTGCTGATGCCTGGTGGTGGCTCGCTGCTCAGCCCCCTCAGGGCCGGGCTCCTTGTCCTGGGACTGCCCACCCTCAGCACCCTGCAACTGTGCCTCCTGGAACAACTCTGGGTCCCTGACTGGTGTCTGCTGCCCCTCCTGCCCCTCAGCCACAGGCTCGGTGGCCAGCGGTTGGTTCCCCAGATGCCGCAGGTCCTGTCTCCGCCACGCAGCCATGTCGCCCTTGTCTTGGGCCTGCAGCAGCCGCAGCTCTGATGTCCAGCATGGGGTTTCATCCGCGGGGTCGGGGGCCAGCCAGCCGGCCCGCTCCAGCTTCCTAGTCATCCCACGGACTTGCAGATGAGACTCTGGGGAAAGGCGGTTGGTGTCACCAGCGCGGATTCCAGGGACCCCGGGTCTGAGGAGCCACGGGTGCCCAGCAGCTTGCAACCACACCTTCAGGGACAGGGGGGTGTGCACACGCCTTCCGGAACTTTTGAGCAACCGAAGCAGCCCTGGGGACAAGCGACATGATTCTCAATGCAGGTCTTTCTCTATGCCCACCCGGAGGCCTAGCCCGCCTGTCCTGGGGGACAGCGTCCACCACAGTGTGGTCAGCATGTCTGGAGGTATTTCCTGTTACTAGAGTTGGGCAGTGGGGGAAAGTGGTAGTGACATCCGGTGGGTTGGGGCCAGGGATGCTGCGCCACATCCTACATTGTATTTGCCAGCATTCCAGGGAGAGCCCCTCCCTACGGTGGGTGGGGCACTACCCGAAGCACCTGGAGGCATACTGGGGACACAGCAGGGCCTCTGTGCCCCTGGAGGGGAGCTGCTCATAAAGATGGAGGGTGGGGGGGCGTGGGGGCAGGGGAGCACAGGGCTGTGAAGGTGTGTATGCTGTATGTATGGCATGTGACTGTGTGACATGTATGTATTATGTGCTATGCATGAATGTGCTGTGCCTGTCACGTGTGCATAAATGTGCCACATGTATATAGTAGGTTACATGTGACCGTGTTCCACGAGTGTGCTGTGCATAGGTTACATGTGACCGTGTTCCACGGGTGTGCTGTGCATGCATATCATGTGTGTGTTAAGCACATGACACCTGTGTGGTGTCACAAGTATGTGACATGCTACATGCATGTCAATCTGGCACATTCATGTGGTGTGCGTGTGTTGTATGTGATGTGCTCAGTGTGTGGATGTGTCATGCAGCTGTGGCAGGTCACATATTTGACTGTGTCAGTGTGGAGTGTTCTGTGTGTCTGCATCACACATGTGATCTGCATGTTCATGTGCTGTGTGCATGAATGTGTCACACGTGTGTGGTGAGTTGTGTGCATGTAGTAGGTGTGTTGTGTACATATGTTTTGTGGGTAATGAACACATGCTTTGTGTGTGGGGGTGTCATGTGGATGTGGTATATTATGTGTGTGGCCTTGTCACGTGTGTGTTCTGTGTATATGCATCACATGTATGCATGCCCTGTGTGCTGTGTCTATCAATGTGGCCTCTGCTTGACGTGCACGAGTGTGTGCACTGACTGACAACCCCCTAGGCAGGCCTATGGAGGCATAAGCTAGTTGCACTGACCCCCCCCCCCATGAACCCCACCATGCCCTGAGCAGGGAGCATTTGTCTGAAGAGGGCCGGGTCACTACCGCTGTCACTCCCCATGAATGCCGACACTGACCGTTCTGTAGGACCAAAGGGCTGCTTCCTGGGCCACAGCAGCCACTATGGGTTAGGAAGCCCACCCCCCCTCCCCGTCTCTCTAAGGCCGAATGTCACTGCAGGCCCCCCTGTCAGCCATGGCCACTGTGCACATCCCCCCCACCCCCACCCCCAGCAGCTCCAGCCTGGTGTGTCTGGGCAGCAACCCTCTGAGGCAAAGAGCCAAGTCAGCCTGTGTCACAGGTGGGGAAACTGAGGCAGGGAGCTCAGAATGCAGAAAGGCCACACACGATCAGAACCCCCATCACTTGGCTACCTGTAGCATGGTGTCCCCAGCCAAGCCCGGGGGAGTCCTTCCTGTGGGAGAGGCAGCCACCTTCCCACCGCCCTCGTCAGAGCACGCACTGTGCACGGGGACCGTGGGCACAGTGTCTGTCTCGTGTCAGCACAACGAGCCCCGTGATGAGGGGAGGAGGGGGACTCGAGCACGCCGAGGCTCTCCACAGAGCCGGCTCAGAAAGAACAGTGTCCTCAAGACACACTGAGGGGCTGGGGCTGAACCCGACTCCAGGGGCTCGGTTCTCCGCTGACCGATGAGCAAGCCTATGAGGAGAACACGGCCTAACACGCCAGGCCCCGGAGAAGGCCAACACGCTCGGTCAAGAGGAAGACCCGCGAGAAGATGGACTGGCACGGTGGCCGAGACACTGGGCTCCAGAAGACTATGAGGACCGGTGGGACCGGGCGGTATTCTGTTGGGTGGTCCGTCCACAAGGAGGACAACAATGTGAGGGGACAGTCATGCTAGAGCCAAGCCGGGAGCATGCCCTGACCAACTGACCAGCCCAGGGACAAAGGTGAGAAGGCGGGAAGGAGGGATGGAGACGGAAACGCTGGGAGAAAGTGAGATGAGTAATGTCACATTGTAGGGACCGCAGCCCACGCCGTGAAACAAGGGGTGCCTGCCCCGCTGAACGGAAAACAGGTCTGCCCGGCCGACCTTCACCCAGCTCGCTCCGCAAAGGCCTTGCTTTCAGAAGAATTAGTCTTTTCAACAGATGGTGCCGAGACCATGGGCTATCCAAATGTCAGACGGTACAGGTAGACACTTACTTCAGCCGCAGACAAGAGCCAATTCAACCTGGATCACAGACTGTGAGGTCAACAACGAGGAAGTTGGAGAAGTCACAGGTGTCAATCGCCGTGGCCGTGGGTTAGGCCACGGTTTCTCAGCGACAACACCGGAGCCCGAGCAGGGAACAGAGAGAGGACACAGAACTCCGTCAAAATGAAAAGTGCTAGTGCTTCGAAAGACGCCGTGGACAAGACAAGGCACGGTCCGAGATAAGAGATGCTCACAATGTGCAAGCTATAGGATGTATGCATGCACCCTCTGGTTCAACGAGGAGGAGGGGCAGGAGACGGGCGGGAGATGTAAACAAAGGAGCGATTCGTAGTCGCAGACATTGAACACCCACGGTCATTCCAGAGCCAGGCCGACCCCATTGTCATCAAGTCCGTGGCCACCCACAGCGGCCCTAGGCCAACACAAGAGACCTGCCCCATGAGGTTTCTTAGACTGGACACCTTTATGAGAGAGCACAGCCAGCCTCGTCTTTCTCCCAGGGATCAACTCGTGGGTTTGAACCACCAACCGCGGGGTTAGTACTCCCCGGGCTCCTTGCACAGGGTGCACATGCTCAAGGGTGATGTTTGGCTTCTTAAAGAGCTAAACACCCACACCCAGAACAGCAGCAGCAAAACCTCCCCAGTCAACTCTGACTCACGGCCACCCCACGGGACTGCCTGTGGGTTTCCGAGGCCATGGCTCTTTACGGGAAGGGACAGCCTCATCGTTCTCCCATGGAGCAATTGGTGGATTTGCGCTGCTGGCCTTGCGGTTAGCAGCACCACTCGCGTCATTCCCTCCGCCTCCAGCTTTACCATCTGGCCCTGCCGATGGCCACCAGCAGGTGAAGGGGACACAGTCACGCCCCTCCACCGGAGTGGAGCCCTGAGTGAGACCCGGTAGCACACAGGCAGATCCTGGAAGCACCATGCCGAGTGGCAGAAGCCAGGAAACAGCCCGCAGGCTGCCCAACGAGGCTCATGACAAATGCCCGCAGCAGGCAAATCTGCCCGGACCTGGGGAAGGGGCAGAAAGTGGCTGATGGGCACCAAGTGCCTTTTCAGGGTGAGGGAATGCTCGGAGGGTAAGTTGTCAGGACAGGAGCACAACCCTCCACGGACTCAAGGAACAGCCGACGGGGCACACTGAGGAACCCATTTCCTGCTGTGCACGGAACACCTCAGACTCTTCTTTTTTAAAAAACGATTAGGATGAGATCTGAGGTGCCATATCAGCTGAATATGAGAAACTCAAAAAGCAAACGCACAGCCGACTCACCGAGACCCTACAGGAGAGGGAGGGGCACTGCCCCTGGGGGTTTCTAAGACTAACTCTTCAAGGGAGTAGACAGCCTCGTCTGGCTCTCAAGGAGCAGCTGGTGGTTTTGAACTGCTGACCTTGTGGTTAGCAGCCCAATGTGTAACCACCACACCACTGCCGCTAGGGCTCCTGGGCCTACAGAGAACAGCCCCTGAATTGGCTGGTTCTCCCCCTCTCACCGCCCTGACTGACACGATCTTCATTCACGTTGCCTGCTCACCCAGCACGGGCAGAGCGCCAACTAGGGCTCAGCGTGTGCCCACCTAGGGGAGGGAACAGCCCCCCAGGGAACCTGGCTCTCGTGAGAGGCCAACAGCAGGACAGGGGGAATGGTGGATGTCCCTTGGTCCACCAGGGGAGACCCCAGGAGAGGATGGGACAACGCCACCAGGAGAGCCTGAAGTCTGTCCTCAGGCCTGGGGCTACCAGGGTCCAGTCTAACCACCGACAGCTGGCCCCCCCCACCACCACCACCCCTGCACCGGCCCTCCACAGTGCGCTGCCGGCCTAGCGGTGGGGTGGGGGTGGGGGGAACGCCTCCCACCACTGCAGACTTAGAAGTGGATGGGCCTCTGGAGCCGTCCTGCGGGGCACACCTTTGGGATGACGCCCGACGCTGGAATGTAGGAGTGGACCGTCCAGCCCATCCTGGCCCCACCCATACTCTAAATCGCCTCCACCTGCCCCCTCAGGGCCAGGGCATGGGCGTCCATCTCAGCCAGCCTCTGGGACCCCGCCAGGAGGGGGACTGAGCTGACCGGGTGAGGAGCTCAGTTGCCATGGGGGTGGGTGGGGTGCCAGCTCTGGGCTGAGGGTGAGGAGCGGCCTCCTGCTCCTGGCAGGCCCTGCTGAGACTTGGCTTGTGAAGGTCCATCTGGGACTCTTGGGGTGCTGCTGAGAGCCCCCCGCCCCGGTTCCCCCACCATGGATGGTCACAGCACTAAGTAGTGAGACAGGTGAGCAGAGAGGGAAGAGGGGCTTCCATGTCCAAGGCCTGGGACCCTGTGGATGGAGCCTGCGAGGCCATCAGACGGCCCCCTCTCATGGCTCCAAAGTGCCACCTCCGGTGGCAGGCTCTGACTGAGCAGGCAACCGCTGGCCCAGGAGCCTGCATTTCTCTGCTGGGTCTGGATCACACTGTGAGAAGCAGGGCCCTCGGGTCTCGACACCCTCCCAGCCCTCCTGCCGGGCAGCTGGTGCTGACTCACAGCGACCC